CATCGAAACAGATCCATATCAGTGGACGCAATTATCAAAGAAGTTGATCTTTTGATTCGAAATCGTATTGCAAGTCTTCGGGGAAAAAATATAATGCATGCCTATGTTATGCTTCAACAGTGGTTCTCCTCTTAATCACATGCCTCTGTTTTGTTTCGATTAACGTTTGTTCTTCTTCTCAAATAAATCAACTCAGGCGTTGGCAATTTGGCATCATCAGTCAAGTCAACGAGAGAGAGGTCAAAATTGGGCTTCATTTTTAGTTTCCCCCATTAGCCCATGTTGGACTGTTTTATTTTTTTAAAAAAATTAACTAGCCTATCTTGGTTCTCTTTTTTTTTGTCGTCAACTTAACATTTCATTCATAAACATTAAAGTACATTGTTCCAAGAGATTACATAATTCGATTGATTAACTCGTGCGTTCTTAGCTAAATTATCAGCCACGTAATTTGCTTCCCTATAGATTTTAATAAAGTTGAAAGCAGGAGTGCCTTTGATAATCTGCATGATGTCTCTGAGATACGTAGAGACAGTGGTGTGGTTCCATCGCTCACATGGTTGTGCAGTGCTAGCCTATCTTGGTTCTCTTTTGTGGTGTAATGGGCTATTTAGCCATAACTAGGCCAAACATTTTTGTATCATTTTATTTATCATACTACTGCCTTTGTATCAAATGCCATTCAAGGAAATCTTAATTACAAGAATCATTAAAGATAGATTAGTGCTAAAAATGTAAAAACAAAAAGGCATGTGCAAAATTTTTAATTCAGACCTTTTTAATTTTCGAATCGTTTCAAGTTTACAACCCGTGTGTTTTTCGGGATTTGCCCAAAAATAATATTCTCAAATATAAAATCTTCACAAATAAAAGAAAATACATAAATTTTTCAAAATTTGGAGCAATCTGTTCAAATTAATTGATGAATTTTTTGTATTAAGAAATATTAGTATCGATATATTATAACAATTTCTATATGATAAATACAAAATTTAAATATTACAAGACGAGTTATATGGGGGGACGGGGTTTGGTCGATATTAATACGGGACGATATACTACGGGTGAAATCCTAGAAATAATAATTAAAATATAATTATACAATCTTAAACACTAAACAAAACAAATAATATTAACAAAACTAATATAACTTATAATTATAATTATTAGTTATAATAATATTCGAGCTGCGGTGTACCCAAAATCAACATATATAAGTTTATATCAATAAAAAATTAAAAAATTAATACAACAATATCATAAATTTATATAAAAATTATAAATATATATTTATCCCGCGGTGTACCGCGGGTCATATCCTAGTGGAAGTATTATTATTATTAGGAGGACCGACTAAAAATAGAGCACAAGAGACGAGAGAGGTCGACGAAACTTCCAAACGTGTGACCATATCAATGAAAGCTTTTCAAAGACAGAAACCTCTATCTATATTTACTCTTACCTCTCTGTTAAACTCTAATCTTAGCCATATCCCCAATTTGAATAATTCAACACACACAAGAAAAATACCAAAGGCTCTCCATAAAAATCGGAATCATCTTCATCTATATAACCATGATTATGTTTCTCTTCATTTGCTCAATCCTCGGGTCAACAATAATAAAAAAGAAGAGAAAAATAAAAAAATCTTGTGTAATTTTTTTTGCACACTCCACAGCCTAAGCCCAACAAAAATCACAAAACTAATAAAAAATAATAATGGGTGGCTGTGCGAGTAGACCCAAGGAATCAGACATGAACAACGAAGAAGGCTCTGTTCCTAACAAGCCTGTGTCTGAAACCGTAGTAGCCAAGGTAACAATTAATCTCTAGGTTTAAATATGAAATTTAATTAGGTTTTGTTACAGAACCGGGGTTAACCGGTTATGATCTTTTGGTATGATTAATACAGGAGAACAACACAGAAAGCGGTGAGAAACAGAACCAGACAGTGGCTGAGACCACTGAAACAACTTCTGTCGAAGCTAAGGAGACATCTCCGGTCGAGCCGACCAAGGAAACCACTCCTGCTGTTCAACCAGAGGTTGCAGCCGTCGAAGAGTCTTCTTCTGCTGCTGCTGGTGAGGCTGCAGAAGCCGCACCTGAGAAAGTGGAGAAGGCTGCAACAGAAAACGTTGAAGCAAAGGTGGATGCGGTTGCAGTAGCTGTACCTGAAAAGGTTGAGGTTGCGGTGGAAGCGGAGAAAAAGGCTGAAACTGAACCAGTAAAGGCTGAGGCTGAACCAGTAAAGACCGAGGCTGGACCAGTAAAGGAGGAGAGTAAAAAAGAAGAGAAAGAAGCTGTTGTCACCGTTTGATGATTAATTAAATTTGTGAAAGTATTTTGAATGTTGTTGTATGTCACCTTGATTTGATTTGATTTGCTACTACCAGATTGGTTTGGCTTTGTTTGTTCTTTGTATCTCAAAATGATTCTTCTTTGATTCAATTAAATATAAATCAGTTTTGCTTCTTGAAACTTTCTAATCAACATTTCTTAAGTCGAACGTTCGTGTGTGAATTAATATCTCTCTGATGATTCTTTTTTCTGTGGAACAAACATATAATATCGAAAACATTGAAAGATGCAAAATCCCCTGGAAACTAATTAAAATCTTGATTAGCAATGCCATTGTAACAAAAATCTAGAACAAAGAAAAAAGAAATCTTACAATTTGACACCAAGCAAAAGAGTCCTTATAGCTCATGACTTTTATGGTTCTGAAACCGAATGTCGGGTTATACCTCTCCCTGTCCCCTATAATGAGAATGTTAAGAGATGTTTGACTACTTCACGAGGAGATGTTATCTGCATTGAAATACTACATCGAAAATTGAAGATCAACATAGCATATGTCGGTTTAAATTTCAAATGTTTTCCAATGGCAATGAATCCGTTTGATTCTGATATCGTCTATCTATGGAGTCGAAAACACTCGTGTTTGGTATCTGGTAACTTGCATACACAAGAGTTTATAGTTCATCATCAAGATTCGGAGAATTGGACTAGTGATGAAGGTTGTTGCCGCATAAACACTTATGATTTTAAGTGTTATATGGAGTATATGGAACGTAGTCGTAATCGCTTTAATGCAACTTCGATCATTATGTTATCTCAATTTGTGCTCCCACAGTGGATGGATTCGGTACCCCGTCCTCCAAATTGAGCATCGTTAACTTTTTCTATTGCTATATGCAAAAAAGCGTGTTTACGTATTTTTGTTTTATCCTTGTTTAGCATCATCAGGACATGTTCGGTATGTCTACACTTTTATGCTCTCATAATTTTATACGCACAAACATGAGTTTTGTAATCTATTATATATAATAAAGTGGAAAGATATCGGATGAGGTTGGTTTGGTCCTAGTGGAACCGTTTGTTTTTGAAGTAAGGCTAGTTAGTTTGATTCTATAAATAGTTAAATATGACCAATTCATCATTTTTTTTTTTAACATCTTGCTTTACTTTATTAAAACAGAGATTACAAAATTATTTCTTATACATACACGGGATACCAGAAAAAAATACAATCGAACAAGTGAATTAAACGATGCTTTCTTTTGTACGTATTACACGCTAATAGATTATCAAATCTATTATCATCCTTATTCGTCTTCTTCCTTAATCTGACATGATCGTTTTGTTTGGCTATCGTTCTTTTGACGAAACTCCAATAAACTTTGACCAATTAATCGTCTTCTTCTTCACAAAACTTTCTTCTTCAGCAAAATATTATTTTTCAGTCCGAGTCAAAAATTAGGGTTTGTTATTTGCTACTTCTGATCAAGTTTGTTTCCTTTCTTTGTGTGTATTTTCATTACTTTTCTTATTAATCATTATCATTATCATTAGTCGATTTGCATCTTTCATTGTTTTAGATTATATGTTCCAGAGAAGAACAATCAGAGATCTTAATTATTCACACACGAATTCTTTTATTTCTAATAGTGATGAAATATACCCTAGAAACTAAATCTTGATTTGATCATTGATCTTCACATTCTTGTGATTTTACTCCATCTGCAACCACTAACTGTTAATTTCTGCTCCTGTCATTTCTATACAATTTACGTACCATATATATAGCAATGTTATATACACCTTCCATTCTCCTCTCCTTTATGTAGGGGTGTCAAAATGGGTAACCCGACCCGACCCGACCCAAACCCATATGAGTTCGAGTGTTTAATGGACGGGTTTGACCCGACCCATATATTTATATGGGTTGAATTTACATACCCAAACCCATTATTGTAGAAATCCATTGGCTTAATGGGTTATATGGGTACCCATATATATGTATAATAAAATATATAAATAATAAAAATCCAAAAAAATAACATAAAATTGTAAACCAACAAAAGTTTTTAAATAATAAATTAAAAAAATCTAGTTATTTTACTTTTTACTTTTATTTTACATATATTTTACATATATTTTACTTTTTACTTTTAATAATAAATAAATTAAAATAATATTATACATATATTTTACTTTTTACTTTTATTTTTAGGTAAAATGTAAACTTTAATAGTTATTTTAGATATTTTACATATATAGTTGTAAAGAAAAGAGGATATTTTACATATATTTATATAAATTTACATAATATATCAATATCTACATATACATTTTTGCAGGGGTTTTTTGCATTAATTCATTTGGATCCGGGTTTTACCCGGGTTAACTCTATTCGGATCTTGGATAAGCAATTTTAGAAATGTTGTCTTAAAAAAAAATGACATTTATAACTGCAATTACACTATATTTTCTGTTTCCTTAATTTATTCTCACACCTCCATCTATTTCCCTCCTCTGATTATCCACAAATTCCGCCCATATTTAATTCGTTTTATTAAATAATATCTCAATGATGAGATTATGTAAACTAACCATATTTGTTTATCTCATTGTATCCTATTTATATGCTAAATATATTCTGCAAATCTATTCAGTTTCCTAATAAAATTGAACAATATAATGTCTACATTCAATATACATAACATCAATGGGAAATATAGCATAAATCAAACGATTTGTTCTTAATTTTGATGAAGCATCTACAAAGCATATTCTACAAAGCATATTCTATATATTATCGAATCAAAGATTTGTGAAGATATCCTATACTTTCTCCACACGATTTTCTTAAATTCTCTAACCTAACGCCAAGAGACTATGACATCTATAAATATGTTTTCGCTAACAGAAAAAATTATCACATCACCACAACGTTTACCTTTAAACACGATAAGAGAAGCCTTTCTAGAATCAGTGGCTGCTTCATATTCCAATCTCAGAGATTTGATATTTGAGACCTTACAAAGCCGCATGGTGCGTCCAAGTTTAAGATCCTGCATTCATAGACAATATACTGTTAAAAAAGGGAGACTCTTGATATGGTCTAGACTGATGACTAAGTAAGTTTTCATGTACTAAAATTTGGTTCTAAACCTTTTTCTTATTAACTAACTTGATATGTTTTATGTCTTAGGGGGCAAAGATTACTCTTTGAGTTGACAGCTTCATCTTCGTGTGTTTGTTGAAATTATGATAACTTGATCTGCATACAAGAAATACCGGGAAAATCAGGTAGCTTGCATATATCTTTTACCATTTTTGAGGAAATTCTAAATGCCCCCATTAATCCAGCATAGTTAATAGTTAGTAAGCTTTCTTAATTGATTGTATAAATTGTTAATTCATCTATGTTTATTATTTAACTAACTAAAAGCTTTTGTGTCATTGTCAGATCATACGTACAATTGGTGAAGTGGTGAATGTTAGTACTTTTGAAACATTAGATTCATAACAATTAGTCTTGAATTCAACAAGATTTTTTTTCATCTCCGAAATACAAGATAACATGGATAAACATGTTATGTATATAACATGGCATTACTTCTTATAGCATATTACTAACTTTAAGCATGTTGCAGTCGCGTTATTCTACCAAGTGTTTTCTGGTCTAATATAAGAATATAGAGGTACGAGTTCGTATATCCTACTCTTTCCAACATTCTAAAAGTTCTTAATAAGTAAGAAATCTTATCTTGATGACTGCTTTAACGCTGGTAGAAAAATCTTTTAATCTACCACGTTTAAAGGTTTCCATTGGATGCAAATCCCTACATTCTAGAAGTAGAAGAATTCAAAACAATCTAAGCATCTGCACTAGATGTTTGACTTATTTGTATCTTCAATTAAACTAATTTAGTTCGTCTCTTGATTCTAATTTGCAGGCTCTAAAGCAAAAAACTATGAAGAAAACTAATTGAAAATTAGAAATCAAAGAGAGAATCAGCTTGATTTATATATTGAAAATTAGAAAATCAAAGAGAGAATCAGCTTGATTCTAATTTGCAGATTCTTATAAAGGATGTTTTTGCTCAACTCTCATTCTTAGAATCTCAGTTCTAATGCTTATTAATATGAAGGAAAGATGACAGAGTTTTATAAATTGTGCATATTCCACATGTTTAAGAACATAAGCTAAATCAATGGAGTAAAGTAGTTAATTACCTTTAAATGGTCCATGTTAAAAAAGTATGATATAATGAAGTCCATATTCATCAACCTGCAATTATTCCACGGCGAGGATTTTTTTCAATTATGGGACTAGGCACAATAGAACCGGGTGCTTTAGATAAATACATAGTTAGATTAAGTCAAAACCTATAAACGAAACTCAGTTCAGAAATTTTTTTTTACTGATAGAGCAAAACACTTAAAAACAAATGCATAAACTCAGTTTCACCAGATCAAAGAACTTAAAAGATCAAAAACAGAAGTAAACCCATAGAAAAATGAAAGAAAAATATGAGAAAGAGAAACCTTTTTGGAATGATTGATGATGATACGAGAAGCCATTGTTGTGCAATCGGAATTGCTTCAGCCAATCCCAAAATTCGCAACTGCAAATGAAAACAAAAATGATGCGAATTTCGTTAGGGTTTTTCTCCTTTCTTTCCCTTAGCTTTCATTTTCAAAGTCAGCAAAAATATCAGAGATCGATAATTCGATAATTTGACTTTGTATTTTATCCTCAATTCAATTTTGAAACAGTAAATCTATGGATGTAAGATATATCCGATCTAGAATTCACCAATTGTTGAAGAATAATGGAAAATCTGGGATTCAATGATGAACACGAGAGAGAGAAAGAGATGAAGATAATTTGTGTTTGATTGATTAGGTTTTTAGAAATGGCAAAATGCCTTACAATTACCAGATTTTGTCGTACCAATACCAATTATACAATAACCGAAATGGAAGGCATTCCAAGAGATTAAACCGACTAATTAAGCTTCTTCCTTTCACAAACCTGGTTTTTTTTTTTTTCCCACATTTATGTTAGTACTAAGATTTAACCCGCAATATACCAGGAGATAATTTTGTTTCATATAATCTTAATTTTGACCAGTTTAATTCAATATGTCTAATATTTATGGTGTTAACAAAATAAATATAAAGATTTAACAAAATTAGAAATGTCAGGTTAATAATATTTTAAATTTTATTAATAACGATTCTTACCCGTCCCACCATATAATCTCATCCAACTATAATACACGTCCCGTGTTATTTTAAAATTTTTTATAGTTTAAATATATTCTTAATATTTATAGTTTTTGTTTATTTTTCATAACCACAATTAATTTACAATCCAAATCCGAATGAACAGAAAATTTAACTTATCAAGCATCCACATTTAAAAGTTTGTATAGGGTTTACGTCGGGTTTTTAGTTAAACTGTTTAAATTTTGTAGAATATAGTTAATTTTAAACTCTTAAAATGTTTTAAATATAATGAATATCTAAACATATACAAAAATTTAAAATAACACGGGACGGGTTTTGCGGAACGGGTTTGAGTAAACATTAATACAAATTTAAAATATTATTATTAAGAAATGATATTGAAATTGACTTATTCTACCATTTATAGATATATACAACTCTCTATATCAATATATACATTTAAATTAATAGAAAAAATACATGATATCAACTAAAATATTGAAATTAATAATTCAAAAAAAAATTTCAAATAATATATATGCCCGCGGTGTACCGCGGGTTAACATCTAGTAGATATATATAAATTTTACTTTTTAGTTTTGGTTATGAAACCATTGGTAACCCATGACCCTAATGAGTTTTACCCATTAAACCCATAACCCTAATAGGGTAACCCACTAAAACCCATTTATATATATGAGTAAAAAAATTCTACCCAAACCCACTAAAATCATGGGCAAAAAAATTCTACCCAAACCCACTAAAATCATGGGTGGATTCGGGTAACCCATGGATATTAACCCATTTTGACACCCCTACCTTTATGTATGTAGCAGCGACTCTAATTAGGAAATTCCAGCAACTCAAATTCTTCTTTTCCGCTCGTTTTAGGTCGCAGTGACTCTCTCTCTCACTCATCTCTCCTTCTTCATTTTCTTATGTTTTGTGTCAGTGCTTGTCGCAGCGATCAACAAAGGAACATGGCTTATAGTAACAAAAATCTATATACAAAATTCTTACAATTTGATGTCAAAGAAAAAAAAGGAAAAAAAACTTATTAATAGATTTCAGTTTAATGTTAAATGAAAATACTAATTTATAATGTTTAAATTATATATATTAACACTAATTTTACTTGATATTGTACTTAATGTTAATTCAAAATATTAGATTAATGTTGTTTCCAAAAATGATATTTAGTTTATACAATTACATAATATATTTTCTAAACAAATTGATATTTAAAAAAAAAAAAAATTTGATACTTTTTTGTCAACATTTTGATATTTTGATAAAATCATGTCTAGTTTTTAAAAAAAAAATTCCTATTTTTCATAAGTTTACACTATAATACTATATAGCTTTTGCTTAATTGTGTTATTTAAGAAATTATAACTCTTGATAGTATTATTGACAATGGATTGCATTGTTAATTATTGTTATTAAGATTAAGATTATTAATATTGAATACCATTGAATATATTTAACATGTAATTTGATATTTGTATTAAAAAATTACTGAAAATTAAATAAAATTTAAAATATTAATATTGATCTCTATTTTTTTGCCAAAAAATATATATATATATATATTAGTAATATATTTATGAGATCTCACCAATAGAGATGCTCTAACCCCTTAGCAAATCTCAATGGAGATAGAAAGAACAACAATCCTAGAGTCGATGTTGGTGGAGATAATAGTGAGATTACCGATGAAAAGCATCGTGAGATTCAAATCGGTGTGTAAAACATTAAAATCGGTAATAGAATCGAGGTATTTCCGCATTTTTTTCGTCTCTCTAAACCGAAACTCCTCGTCATCTCGGTCGCTCATATTTGCAACCAAGAATCTTCATTCCATCACAGAAGCTCTTGGTTTCCATGGATCCGACACATGGGGTTGTCTTCCCAAAACCCTAGATTCTTATATATATATATTTTTTTTTTCATGAGCATAGAAGTCACGATCTCGACGGGAGGCTATACCTGTGGCAACATGATTCATATAGTAATGAACCTGGATTCCTTATTATAGCTCATAACTTCTATGCTCCTGAAACCGATGATTATCAATGTCGGGTTATACTTCTCCCTGTCCCATATAATTTAAATGTTAAGAGATGTTTGACTACTTCACGAGGAGATGTGATCTGCATTGATGTACTACATCAAAGATTGAAGATTTGGAGACTGAATATTAACAGCTTAGAGGATGAATGTTGGCAATTGTTGACATCGGAAGTCAACATGGCATCTGTCTGATTAAATTTCGAATGTTTTCCAATGGCAATGAATCCCTTTGATTCTAATATCGTCTATCTATGGAGTCAAAAACATTCTTGTTTGGTATCTGGTAATTTGCCAACACATGAGTTTATAGTTCATAAAGAATCAGAGAATTGGACTAGTGATGAAGGTTGTGTAGACAAACTCAAAACAATGCTCTTAGATAGCTTATTAACATAGAAATATGAAACTGAAAATGAGATAGCTCATATGGTTCTTTATTCAAATGTAAAGAACAGAGAAAGGTGAAAGCTTTAGGTTTGTCTTCAAGAGCAAAATAGATTTCCATTATGTTTCATAAAAGATGAATGTGGCTGCTCAAAGAGGCAGCCATTGTCTTGGTAGGGGTCAATTTTTATAGTAAAACTAAAAATCTGTTTTGAACAATATTTTATAGGGGTCAATAAGCATATTTTAAACCATTTTCCTGAATTTTGCTTAGAATATTACAAGTGAATTAAAAATTTCTACAAATCCATAGGGGTCAATTGACCCCCATAATAACAATATACCTCCGCCCCTGGAGGCAGCTTTGGTTGCATTCATCAATGTCTTATATAACATATATATATATGAGAATTCCTACTACAAAACCTAATAACATGGACTAATAGATTTCTCATGAGGCTAATCTTTGGGCTTCTTTGTGGCCTCTAATAGGTTATTGTCACATGAACACTTCTGGTTTAAAGCAGTATATAGGGTCTATGGAAAGTTGGTCTCGTCGCTTCAACAGAACTTCAATCATCATGTTACCTCAAATTGTGATTTATCGCTATTAGAAATTTAGTAACTCTTTCTATTGCTATATATGCAAAGAAGGTGTTCACGTCCTTCTTATCGTTACCGTTACCGTTACCGTTACACTGACCTTTTTCTGCCGTCTTCCTATAAATAAATACCCAATAACTAATTAATTAAATTATCAATACCATTTCCTGCCCACGCCTAATAAATAGGACATTTATTATGGAATATACGAGTAGATATTAAGTAAAATCTAACCATAAATTAATCGACACGTGAACTTCCCCATTCACCGCCAAGAAAAGACAAAAGAAATTGTGGAGAAATAATAAATTAGCTCAATCAATGTGTAAATGTTTTTAAAAACAGATAATAAAAGTAAATAAACAAATACTAATGAAGTGGAAAAATATTGGATGAGGTAGGACCAAGTGGAACCGTTTGTTTTTAGTAACGGAGTTAGTTTGATTCTATAAATAGTTAAATATGACCAATTCATCTTCTTCTTCTTCACAAACTTTCTTCTCCAGCAAAAATTTATTCAGTACCGAGTCAAAATTAGGGTTTGAAATTTGCTGCTTCTGATCAGGTCTGTTTCATTTCTCTGCTTATTTCATTACTTGTTCTTCTCGGATCTCATAATGCGATTTATCTGCGGTGATTAGTTCTGTTTGATTGAAATTTGTGCCCGATTAGGAAAAATTATCTCTAATAGTGGATCGATTTTGGTATTTAGGCTACGTAATTTTCCATATCATATGTGATTCATTCTGGGTTTCTTGGGTTATGCAGTGAGTGAAGAAAGTTTGAAGCTTTGAGTAACTTTAACAATGGAGGTATTTGGAAAATCTCATGTGGTTGGCTCTGCTAATGTTATTTACTTGTCTGCTTTATTGGGTCGCGATGGACCCAATCCGTGTCACAAATGTGATTGGAAATGCGAGAATGAGAATGTTTGTGGGAATATGTACCGTTGCAAATTAACTGGGTTGACTCATTTTTGTGACAAGAACTGCAACCAAAGGATTTTGTATGATAACCATAACTCTTTGTGCCGAGCTAGTGGTCGGATTTTCCCGCTTTCTTCGGCTGAAGAGCAGGCGGTTAAAGGAGTTCGGAGGAAGCTTGATGATGAGAGTCAACAACCCTCTGAAAGTTGTGTTAAGCGTCGTCGACGTGATGCTCAGTTTCATTCTTCTCCTTTCGAGAGGTCTTTTGCTGCTGTGAGCCCAATTTGCAGCCAAGCTGGAGATGGAATGGAGATGAACTAGATCTTTGTTGATCTTTTCTATCTCTGAGAGGCTTTTCCTTTATCTCACCTAGAATAACTTCCTTTCCCTTTTCATTTTGGACAACTATGCAATAAGAGACATTATTCCATGTGCTCTTCCAGAGAGACTAGGCTTAGCTCTCTGTCTGAAGAAGCACTTTATCTTAGTATTGTTGAACTCTATGTAGTATTTAACGTAGGAGAGACTTTATAATTCTGCTACTACTCTGTTCTGGACGTTCTTGTTTTCATATTATTAGGTGAAGTAGAATAACACGCTTGTTTCAGCTTTCTTTCTAGTGCTTCTCCTCGCGCACCTTTAAGTTTGTTTATCTTTGTATCTTGTTTTGCTTGCTTCGACTGGTACAAGATACCATTGGTTATTCCTGTCAGTTTATTGCGACAGGTTTTTGTCACATTGCTGAAAATTGCAGTGTAGGTTTCCACCAGGTTCTTGAAGAAAAAATTCTTTCTGGTTTGTCATCCTGTAGAATATTCCCCTTCATCTTCTCAATGGAGACATTATTGTAAACTATATTTTGTGAAGATCAATTTCCTTCCTTTCCTTGTTTAATGAGCACTAGAAGTTCTGAAAATGTTTTCTGTTTGTGCAGGTTTCATAATCTTGCCATGCAAGAGAGTTTTAGTTACCATTATTCTCTGTATAATGATTAGGCTGTTATTTTTCTTAATTCTCAGTGTTTGAGGAGTAAGTCTAACAATTGGAAGCTTGAACTTTTCTCTATAGGTAGGTCTATGTTTGTGCCCAGCAGGCAACTACGCGCAATTGGTAAACTGATGATCGAGACAGCAGAGGAAGGACAGTTGTCGAAAGAAATGATACCCAACATGGTAAATTTTATGAAAGATCCCCGTGACGATTGTCCATTTCTTTGTTTTGTTCGTTTATGTTGCAAGCTTTAGCCTCTGTATATCACCCAGTTACTTTCTTTTCATTCTATTTCCACGTGTCTGAGGTCCTGCTTTTTTCAAACATCTCTGACTAGGTCCAATAAATGTAACTGCGTGAAAGAAAGGAAATATAAAGTTGGTACTATTCTTACAGGGATTACAGAGAATTTTGCCCAAAAAGGTGTGGTGGTTGTCGACTCGTCCCCTGCTATATTATAAGGTACAGTGCTGGAACATTTCTCCTTACCTATTGATTATTATAATGGATGTTATATTCAACTTAGAGCAAAATGTAAGATATAGATCTTTTGGTGTATGAAGAATCAATGATAGTATCTAAATTCTGACATTTTCTCTGTTTTCAAATCCAACATCTAATATAAGACTACAGTCTTCCTTCCTTCTGTGCCTTTCAATCTGCTACAACGCTTTCTTCAACTTTGCAGAAATCTTTGCACATTCTGATTATTCTTTGACATTTTCTTAGCTGAATCCGACGAATTAAGTGTCGTTCTTCTGTATAATCCAGGTTAGAGAATGAACCGAGCTGCCAAATCTCGAATCCACCAAGTCAGAATTAAAACAGCAAGGTGTGGCAGTGGCTCCCCAAGGTCAGCATCAAGATCCAAACCTAGTACCTTGAGAATCTTTATGGTGAATCATCATCATCAATCTTATCCATGAATCTACAGAGTCCTCCTTCCACATTCAACGCTCTTTTTCGTTTGTTTTTATAGTAACCACTTAGGAGATCTACTGATACAATATAGATCTCTATGGTTGATATATGCAAATAATTCAAATTTCTATTTGAGCCTCTTTCATGCTTCAAACATCATCTAAATTCAGAAACAAAACAAGCTTCTCTATATATATACACTGTTGCCCATGTGAGTTTTGGTCCTAGTGCAAATTCTCAACCGAAGAAAAACCCTGAGAAGCCACAGATTTTTTACCCAAAAAGAATGGAGAAATTGACCAATTTCAGAAGTCAAAACTGAGTAAATGTGGCAGAAGCCGATAAATGGGCCTTCTTAGGCCCAACATAACCCAATGGGAGATGGGAAGGAGGGAGAGATAAGACTGAGAAGCAGAGAACCGAAAGAAGAAAAAAAACAAAACTCAAAGTCGCAACAGAAAAAAAAAAAAAAGGACGAGATATGGTGGTAGGCGGTGGAGGAGGAGATCAGAAGAGAAGCGGCGGAGAAATGATGGCGATGGCGAGTTTGTTCAACGATCAGCAGAATCCAATTCAGCAATTTCATGTTAAATTCAAAGAAGTAGAAACTAATTTCAAGACGTGGTTATCGAAACAGTCGATTCCGGTGGAAGCCGCCGTCGTCTCCACCATGAGCGGTGTACAAGGAGCTTTCATTGGTGGTCTCATGGGAACACTCTCTCCTGAAATGCCTCAAGCCGGCGTTGACCCTCAAGCTATTGCTTCGCTGAAACAAGCTCAGGTTCCCACCCTATATAACCTCATCTAATTAAGTAAGTCCATTGTTGTTGTAATTGAGATATGAGAATTAGGGTTTGTGAATCTGTAGGCTCTTGTGGGTGGTCCTTGGGTCCAAGCTCGGAATTTTGCTGCCATTACCGGTGTTAATGCTGGAATTGCTTCAGTAATGAAGCGGATTCGAGGCAAAGAGGATATTGAGTCTGCGTAAGTTTCAATCTTTGCGATTTGGTTATCATTGTGAATGAAAGTTTTAGAATGTAATGATTTAGCTGAACTTTGTAGAGTGGTGGCGGCATTAGGATCTGGATTTGCATACTCTTTGGTGAGTCAAGGATTGCAAGGACAACCTATGAATGCGATCACCACTGCGGCGGGATTCGCTGTTTTTCAAGGAGTGTTTTTTAAGGTGAGTGATCATATTGGAAACTCTCTAGTCTCTACCATGAAAGCATTTGTTATTAACTCCCGGTTTTTTTCCTAAGTTGGGAGAAAGGTTCTCTAAACCGAGCACTGAGGATCCGTTTTACACACGAGGAAGGACGATGCTAGTGAAGCTAGGTTTAGAGAAATACGAGAAGAACTTCAAGAAAGGACTTTTAACTGATCCAACATTGCCATTGCTTACTGATAGGTAATAATCTAAAGTCCCTCTAAAGTTTCCACTAGCCTTTGTTTATGTAGCAACTAAAGTTAATAATTTATGAATCCAGCGCGCTGAAAGATGCGAACATCCCACCAGGGCCAAGACTTATGATCCTAGACCATATCCAGAGGTTTGAATTCAACTTCTCTGCTATTCCATTGATCAAATATACGAATAATTACTGAATTTGTTCGAGCTATTCTCTGTTCTTTTGAGTACAGGGACCCGGAGATAAAGGGCAAACGAAAGTAGAGCCTTGTTGTTTATATGGTTATCACCTTAATCAATCTGTTTTGATGGTAACGATCTTCAAACACATATGTAATGCCTTTTACTTTTAGCTGCTATTGCCTGCAGGAAGAACTCTTGTTAGATTCTTCTGTTTCTATTAGCAATGTTTGATTCTCTTTTAAAATTTATGAGTATTTCGTCTCAAATCGAATTGGATTATAGGTTCTGAATAAAACGAAAATGGAATATGCTTTGTATGAGAATAAGATGATTATATTATGTGTAGAGTTGATTGGCTTAAGATCAAGATTCGATAAATTTCGGTTCACACAAAAGGCCAATCACCAAAGGGATTCGATAAACTCTTTCTACCTAATTTTTGTTGTTGATGTGAAACTCCATATACTTGAATTAGTTTAATGTTTGATTTAAAGTCGTCTTCTTTCTAAGAACAATAAGCGTGACCACGAAAGAAGAGAAACTTTGTAAGACGTCTCTGATTATGTCGTAATCACTAAAGTTACATGACTTCAATAATTGTCTTGTTTTAATGCAGATTTTATGAAGGAAAATGTTAACTTCGTGGATCAAAATATCTTCATTAGAACAATAGGCGTGACCACGAAATAATAAACTTTCTGAGACGTCTCTGTAATCAGAAGCGTTACATGAATACTATAATGTCTGTTTTAACAAAGAAAATATAATTTCAATTTTCCCCAAACAAATTTTTGTCAACATGGGTTTCAAAACATTTTTCTGGACATAATTTTACAGGATTATATATGATGAAAATGAAAATTTGTAATCTTTTATGCAGAATTTATTTACATATCTTTTTAACATTAAACTACTTGGATCTCACAATAAAAAGGTCTAAAGACAAAATAACAATTTTGTATCTACGAATTTGTTACAACGACTTCAAGAGAGGAAGAAGAGAGACGAGAGATTTGGTCCATGAGAAAGACTATACGAGAGTGATAGTCACGCGCCTGATCTAGAGACTCGACCTCAAGCTCCGCCAGTTGCGAGCAGAGTCTCTCCTCTGCCTCCTCCGCCACCACTGCCCGCCGCCACAACTGAACCATCTCCTTCTTCATATCCTCCATTTCTCTCTCCAACTCACCGTTCCTCCTCCGTAGCTCCTCCACTTCTTCCGCCGTCACCGTCACATAACCTCCTCCTTTCCCCATTAGTTGAATTGTGATAAATAAAACAATTGTGTTGCTGCTTTTTTTTTGTGTTAAACGGTTAAATTCTCTCTTGTCTTTTTTTTTTTTTTTCTTTCATAAATTCTCTCTTGTCTTGTGAAGATCCTTTTAAGAGGCATCTATTGAGTTTTGGTCTTTGGAATTGCAAAGTGTCTAGGTTCAATGTATCTCGTGTTCTCTTATTTTTCATTATTTTTATTTTTTGTCGACATCATTGTCTGTCTTTTGCCTTAGAAAAGTAACAACACGTGGTGCAGCATATCATGCAAGACTATCACAATAATTTTTTTTTTTGTTAGACTTATCACAATAATTATTATTTTTGAAGACTTTTTTTTTTTGATGAATTAATTTTATTTTTATAGATTTGTATTTGCACGGAACGGAACAGTCCCATTTTTTTATATTGTGAATCGAATCTATCGAAATATACTAGAACCATCTTTCGATTTCATTGGTTTCTCTCAAAACCTAATAGCCGCCTCAAAAACCTAGATCTATATCTCGCCATTTACGGTGGCCGCCGTCCTTCCGACGGTGGCCCCGTGTGTGTTTAGGCTTTAGCTTTGTCTGTTCTTTCTTTTCTTTTGCTTTGCTTTCGATTACCTCGAAGTTTTGATTGCGATTTCAGATCTAGAAATGGAGCTGTCTTTCAATGTCATTTCTTTGGTTCAGATGGAGTTGATTCGACTGGTCTATACCTTTGCCATTCGAGTCGATTCTCTGGAGTTGGTTCAACGGAATTAGAATGGTCCAAATCCGAGCTATCTTTGTTTAAGTGTTTTTGATTTTTCTCTTGCCTTTGGTTTTGCATCGGTGTGAAGTCTTCTCGTGGAGGAACATAATAGGTTATCATCCTCTCTTTGAAGAAGTTGTTCTCGGGGCCCTTTTACCTCGCCCAGCAGATGAAGGTTCCTCCTCCCCGCATATTTAAACAAGGTTTTCAACTAGAGCATTTCAGCAGCTGTAGCCTCGTGTCTTCCCCTGGATTGGCTGAAGCACTCCTCAAGAGGTACTGGGTTGAGTTTCAATTGAAGATATAGCGGTCGAAAAGGGGTGGTTTTTTCAATCTTTGGCTGGTGCTCTTCTTCATCTCGGTTCTACAATTTCCTTGTTAATCTGTTTGGCTGCTCTATCCATTCTCTCTCGTGAGCGTTTTGTATCTGTTCTCCGAGTTTTCTTCTTTTGTGGACTGTGTTGTCGTCTGCTTGGGCTTGGAGTCCCTTTCCAAGCTTCTCTTCCGACTGCCTTTAATTTGGTTTTTAGAGTTAAATCCGCTTTGCTTTGATGGTTTTGGTTTTGGTTTAGAATTGTCTGTTTTGGTTGTATGCTTCCCTCGTTTGGGCGTATGTTTCCCTTATCCTTTGGGGCTCTTGTTTCCCTTAATCGTTAGGGCTCTTGCAGTCCCTTGTTTGGGCTGATGTTTGTAATATCTGGATAATTCAATGAATCAATGAATCCTTTAGACGAAAAAAAAAAAAGTATTTGCACGGAACTTGAATACGAATATACGATCACTCGATTTTTATCCCAACGTTTTAGCGATATCTATTTAATTTTTTTACAATATTCCTTTGAATATATATGCATCTCAAGTTTTCTTAAAGCAATATTTAAAAGAAAATCATCTAGATTAATGTATAGATTAGATATCGTTATCAGAAAATATATCATTTAGATATGAACTAGCTAATATTATGTAAACACACAAAAGTAGATAACTATATAAAAAAAAATATATATAAAAAAAAAGTAGATAACTATTTAATACAAAACCAAATATACAAAAATATATCACACTAATGATGACTAATACTATTAATTAGATATACTAGTAACCTAATTAAAAGGTTTAAAATGTTTTTTGGGTACGATTTTATTACATTAATCTACAAATTGCAACATCCATACATATCCATGCTGGTACAAGACTACAAGTATATCTGCTGACCTATTGTAGATATATATGTATCTTATTATATCACAAAGTTGACACATTTAAGAGAAAATCTCATATTCTATCAAACTTTTCATATAATTTGCTCATCATAGCTCATAGTGATTAGGAAAATATCTTATAGTTATCCTCCTTAATACTAGCTTATTAAGGTGTCAAATTTCTTTTATCATCATCACCATAATTAAATACACAAAAAAGTTAGAAAATCATATAGTATTATGCGAATTAATTGAATATTAGGAACCGGTGAACGTCGTGGAGATACATATAGGTGACGTCACCAATCACGTCGATGTAAGTGTCATATCCCATTTCTTCGTGCTTCCGTTGGACCACTTCTACTTCTCCCAAGTCAATGGCCTTCGCACCAATGAAACACGTAACGATTATTCCTACTAATTTAATTATTCGTGAATCCACCAATTTAGTCATTCCTTCATTAAATTAAACCCATTAATTTAGGCCAAAGTTTTTAGGCTATCTCAAACTATTGGCACATATAATGTAATTATTTCATAAATTGTTCATGATTCATGAAAGTATAGTTAATTACAGTTTGGTCACCCGATATCATAAGAATTATATCTTGGTAGTTAAACAGTCAAATTCGACGGTCGATATCGTAGACAAATGGTTCCAATAATGGTAGATCCCTCTTTTCAAGATATCAAAATCATGGATAAAGTAGCATCAGAAAAATCCAAAGAAGAGAAAAAAAAAATCAGGAATATTATTTCGCCCAATTATTAAAAAATGCCAAAAAAAGATTGCGACATGAACAAATTCAGAGCGTGGGATGCTTACATTTTAGACCACACAACTTGATTGAGTTCCTTTACCGTCCAGGTTCAATGTATATGTTTTCTTGTCCGGTTTAGTCTTCCGAAATCACATACTGGCTCACTTCGGTTTAATTTATGCTAATTTGGTTCAACTTTGTTCATAAAAAAAACATCTCAAAATTAAACAAATTAAAGATTCTATTCATTTTTGGCAGACTCGGTTTATTCCGGTACCGTTTCCGATTAAAATAGAGATTAGAGATGTTAATAATTTTTAATCTACGCATGGAATATTCTCGTCGGGTACTATCTCAAATTATTATGATCTAATTAACAGTTAATTAATAGCAAAACAAACAGAATCACGTCAAAATCGAAATGTCAGTCTTCCCTCTTAATTTGCCAGCACCACATATCAGCATACTATTTTTATTGCGCTAAATGAATTTTATATAACAAAATAAAGTTATATACTTTAATAAAGTTATATAACTAATTATGAAACAGAAAAAGAAAATGACCCTTGACCAATGGAAACCTTACACAATTTCATGTTTTACGTCTCGTAAAAACTATTATTATGGTTCCATGGAAAATCATTGAACCTTCTCTTCTCTCATAAGATTTTCATGAAAGTCTTTCTATGGTTTCCATTGACCCAAAAAAAAATCCTAAAGTTGTGGAAACTTTCCATGAAACTCATGTATAAAAAAACTTCTTCTTATTATGGTTCCATAGACAAATTGTGCAATTATGATAAGTAACACTAATTCATTAGAAATGGATCTCAACAAACTTAATAATTATCAGAAATACTAATTATTCACTAGAAATTGATTCAACATTTAATTTATGTTGAAAACATAACATATACATGTATACCAAACGTATATGTACACATACACAACTATACATAAATTATGATAATAAATATCTACATGACTATATATATATATTTAACTCTACGACGAAGCGGCGAGAGAAGAAGAAGAGAGACGAGAGATTTGATCCATGAGGAAGAGCATGCGATCGTGATAGTCACGTGCCTGATCTAAAGACTCGACCTCCAGCTCCGCTAGCTGCGAGCAGAGTCGCTCTTCCGCCTCCTCCGCCACCACCGTTCGTTGCCACAACTTAATCATTTCTGTCTTCATCTCCTCCACTTCTCTCGAGAGCTCTATGTTCCTCCTCCTTAGATCCTCCATCTCTTCCGCCGCCACCGTCACGTACCCTCCTCGGTTCGCCATTAATTAATTTAATTAGTTTTAGATTCTGCGTGTGAAGGTGTTTTTTTTTTTTTTTAAAAAAAAACTTTGTTTCCTTGTAGAGTGTTAGGGTTTGATGATGTTCTTTAATAGGCGTTTTGTGTAGATTTAGCATGTCCAGGTTCAATGTATCTGCTTCTTGATATTTATTTTTCTTCTCACTTTTTTATTTGGGTCAATATTCTCTCCTTTACGTGAAACTAAAAGATACTTAGGCCTGGACATAAAATCCGAAATCTGAACCGATCCGAAAAATTCGGAACCGAACCCAAACCGAATAGTCACAAAATCTGAACGGATAATGAATTCTCCTATCCGAATTACCCGAACCGAATCCGATCCGAACCGAAAACCAAAAGGATATCCGAAAACCGGAAATAAAAATTATATATCCAAAAATATTAGTTATATTTAGTTGTAATTTTATAGCAAATAACAAAAATATCCTAAATATTCTAGATTTGGGAAAAATTTTAGTTATATTTGTTAAAATTATACATATTTTTGCAAAATTTAACCAAATTTTAGTAAGATTAAACCAATTTTTATTAAGATTGAACTATTTTTAAGTTTTTTTTCCCGAAAACCGATCCGAATCCGACACCTATCCGAACCGAAACCGAACCGATGACTCATAAAATCCGAACGGATAATAAATTCTCCTACCCAAATTATCCGAATCCGAATATATCCGAACCGAAACCGAACCGAAAAATCATAAAATCCGAACGGATAATAAACTCTCATACCCGAATTATCCGAATCCGAATATATCCGATCCGAATCCGATTTGAAATCCGAATGTCCATGCCTACTCATGGTCATGGCTTATGTATGCCACGAGTAAAATAATAAACAAATTAAAATTTTGAAGATTAGAATAGACCACCCAAAAAATATATTGATTATTATTTTTTGGGTATGTATGATAAAAATTATCTTCTATCAGTACAGTTTAGGTTCGACTCACATATTTATTAGATGAACTTTATACAATAATAGTTTTGAAATTTCCAGTTCATCAATGTGGTTAACTAGTTTGAAAATTAAAATAAACAAATTGTCGTTTATGCTACTATAAATTGATAAATGGATAATTACTGACATGGTTAACGTGTGCATATAATAATCAATAATTGTGCCGTGGTTTACACAAATTCAATTTACTTATATGTAATTCTGGTCCAACAAATTTGTGGTAGCCTTTTAGGAAAAGTGTGTTGGTCTGATATGTGTGTGTGGAATGTGGTGTATATTGATCATGATTACATTATTGAGTTAATAGGGCTTGAAATAGCTGACATCTGAAGCCAATCCCTATAGTGTTTCGTGTGATATTGTGAAAGTTAAGGAATTTTTTTGTTTCTGAGCATCTTCAATGCACATGTCTATATTTTCTTCTATTTTAGAAGAATTTTATTTTAGAAAAGATTTTGTTCTAATATATGTCTCTAAAATAGAGTTTTCTCTAAAAATAGAGGAGAGAAACATTGGATTGTTCTATATATAGAGGCATATATTGTCTCTCTTCTATTTTAGAAGCAAACATTGGAGCAAAATCTTCTCTAAAATAGAGGTAAATATAGACATGAGCATTGGAGATGCTCTCACATGATAACAAGTTATTAATTTGGGAAAACGCTGCCGCTGTTGTTTCAAGACATTATACATCTACAAACACTATAAAATAGAAAAATTGGTGTACAATCGCCAAAAATATACTAGACATATATAACATTATATATCCATTTGTTAGTAACATGCATTATGTTCGTTTGAATACATATTGTTACACAATGATAATACTAACACAGAACACTAAGCTACGTACATTGCAAGAATGGCTTTACATTGTAATGATACAATATAACAATACATACTTTTTTAGTTTGTGAAAACGATATTTAATTTGAATCAAATGGAGTATGTATATGCCTACAATAAATTACCTAAGTAAATGTGCAAAATACCACTATGCAAAAATATATGTAAGCTTCTATATTCAATCAATAAAATTTAAAAATTCTGCAGGTTTTAAATTATCAACTAGACAGTCTGTAATTTCAAGAGACACACATAGTTTTGAACTCTATATTCCACCACCATGAACATAGATGTTGGGCCTAAATGTTTTAAACATTAAAGCCCATTTTAACTCTCAGACTTGGCGCGTATACTTCACCATCTCTACCACAAAGGCGCGTGAGATTCAGATTCACTGTATACATTAGAGCCTATTGTCTCCTGTAATTAAGCCAACAAGATAAGGGTAAACCCAGAAAAACAAAAAAATTCAACGAAAGAGAACAAAGACGTGGCTATTCGTCATTGGTTGCATTCACGAAAATCGGAATTTAATTAATTTCACAGTGATCTCAAATCGTGTTCGTGAGTGTTTGTTTCTTCTACCTCTGAAACTCTTTTTATTTATTAATGTTCATGATCATCATCATCTGCGTGTAAAACACAATCACGCCATCGTTGACGTCTCAGATCTTCAAATAAAGCTTCTCTGATCTCTATCTTCCTCACGGTAACCCTAACTTTCGAATTTGCTCTTCACTTTCTTCATCTCTTGATGATACACATCCTCCTGAAGCTTTGTATTTCGCTAGATACTTCTCCAAAAACAACGATTCGTGATCTCCATTGTTAGGGATCTGGTGATATTTTTAGCAATTTTCGTTGTTGTTGTTTCGATTTTAGGGATTTGTGTGAAGAACAATGGATTTTCCAGAGAATTTGCCATCAGATATAGGAAGATTAGAGCAGATTGTTTCTCATTTCTTCCCAAAAGCATTACACATAGTTCTTAATTCCAGAATCCCTTCGTTGCAATCTCGTGGTCGTAGTCGTGAGCGTTCATCATCAGGTCTTAATGTTAGAAAAAGCGATAAATGGTTTAATCTTGTGATGGGAGATCGTCCTCCTGCGTTGGAGAAATTGCATTCTTGGCATAGGAATATTTTGGATTCTATGATTATTGATATCATTCTTGTTCATCCGATTTCAACCGATAATTTGGATGTTGATGATGATCATCATGGTGATTCTACTGGTAGATCAGCTGAGACTGTGATTGAGCGTTGGGTTGTTCAGTATGAGAATCCTTTGATTATGTCTCCTCTGAGTTCTGAGTCTGCTACCCGTTATCAGAAGGTTTACAAGAAATCTATCATTCTGTTGCGGTCTCTTTATGCGCAGACTCGGCTTCTTCCTGCTTATCGTGTTTCTAGGCAGCTGAGTTCGTCTCTTGCTTCTTCTGGTTATGATCTGATTTACAAGGTTTCATCTTTCAGTGATATATTCTCTGGTCCTGTGACGGAAACAATGAAAGAGTTTCGTTTTGCTCCAGTTGAAGTACCTCCTGGTCGTCTTTGTGCATCGGTTACTTACCGTTCTGACTTATCTGATTTCAATCTCGGTGCTCATATCACATTGCCTCCGAGAATCATAACTGATTATGTAGGAAGTCCTGCAACTGATCCTATGAGGTTTTTCCCTTCTCCAGGGAAAAGTGTTGAAGGAAATTCCTTTATTGGTAGAGCTGGTCGGCCTCCATTGACTGGTTCATCTGCTGAACGTCCACATAGCTGGACTAGCGGCTTTCACAGACCTCCAGCTCAATACCCAACACCTAACCAATCTTTTTCTCCTGCTCATTCACATCAATTTTCACCCGGGTTACATGATTTCCACTGGTCACGTACAGATGCATTTGGTGACAATCACCAGCTTTCACCTCCTTTTTCGCCATCGGGTTCTCCGTCTACTCCAAGATACATATCTGGGGGTAACAGTCCGCGCATTAATGTGAGACCAGGGACTGCTCCAGTGACCATTCCTTCTTCAGCCACATTCAATAGATACGTTTCATCTAACTTCTCTGAGCCAGGTAGGAATCCACTTCCTCCTTTTTCCCCCAAAAGCACAAGACGTTCCCCTTCATCGCAGGACTCTTTGCCTGGGATTGCATTGTACAGGAGTTCTAGAAGCGGAGAGTCTCCTGGATTAATGAACCAGTACCCTGCCCAGAAGGTTATGCTTCTTACTTTATATGTGTCTTGCTTGATGCAAGAACAAGATCACAAGCTTTTGTATTGCCTTATCTGATATTTTGTTGTTTGGTTTATATCTACTCTTCAGTTGTCAAAGGACAGCAAATACGATTCAGGCCGCTTCTCAGGAGTTCTGTCTTCGAGTGACTCACCAAGATTTGGGTTTTCTAGGAGCCCCAGTAGATTATCTTCCCAAGACGACTTGGATGACCCTGATTGTTCATGCCCTTTTGATTTCGATGATGTTGACGAGTCAGGACTTCAGTACAGGTTTTATCCCACTACCTAACTTAAATCATTTAAAGGAAATATTATATACTTGGATTAGTTTTTTGAAATCTTTACACAGAGAGTTGGTCAATGACAAGATGTCATCAAGAAAACACTAATGTGTTGGCTGTTTTGTTTAATGTGAAATTGTTGGCATTCACACTCTATACTTGGCCTTTCTCTTACTGTTCCTTTATCATTTTTTTGTCCGTCAATTTCACTTCTTGGGATTTTTTAGTCTTTGGTAATATAAAATGACTTAGATTTTGCAATTTTTTCGGTGCAGCCAAAGTCTTGACCGGAGGAAAACTTCAGGCTCTATATCACAGTCGCTACCTCTAGGGAGAAGGTCATCACAGGATGCAGCTGTTGGTGTTCTGGTTCACATGCTGAAGACAGCACCGCCATTACGACAAGACTCGAGCACTTACATGGCGTCAATGTCTGGGGTTCAGAGAGAAGGTTCAGTGTCAGGTACAGAATCTGAATTTTCGATGGCTCGTAGCACATCAGATGCACTAGAGGAGCTGAGAAACTACAAACAGCTCAAAGACTTGCTTCTCTCCAAATCCAAAAGTGGGTCTGGAGCAACTCGTGTCCACTGAGCCAAATCGAAGAGCGATCAAGATATGAGTTATCGGATGGATGTTTGTATATATGGATTTGATGACGAGTACTTAACTCTGTTGTATAAATGCCAAAGAGCAATCACGTTTCAGTTTCTGTAAAAGAACTTGCCTCTGAATTTGCACATAAAAACTAATAAAATTTGAATCATTTCATTATAAAGTTGTGAAATTTATAGAGGGTTTTGCTGTTGTTGATAAATCATGTGTAAACCTTGTTTTCTCATCAGGACCTCTTTCTATATAAAACATGAAATATATGATAGTTCCTATTGTGATAACAATCTATTTGGTTTTAAAGTCACAAGATGAGCAGCACAAAACGGTATTTAAGACATTAGCTTCAACTAGAGAGAGAGAAGAGGTTAAAACGCAACGCCCGTTAAGATAAAGAGTACACCAAAAAAATACACACACAAAAGTCAGCTTTAAATAGCAATCCACAATAAGCCTTTGAATCTACACAAATTCAGCTTGTGCAAAAGCTTTTTCCAAATCATAGCGTTTGTTTTTTACACAAAAAGAAGCTCCAAAGCCTTGCCTTGCCTGCCTTTACAAAAAACTGACCCAAAAAATGTGTCATCCGTCTCCTGCACAGCTACTGAGAAACACAAAAAAACATAAGACCACCGAAGATAAGAGATTATAGTTTTGAGAAAGTAGCTCTTATGAGATGTCTTACCTCATCTAGATGATCCGCCAATGACTCTTTCTTACGCATTTTGTTTTTACACTCTGATCTCAAATTACAATTTCTAGCAGGCTTCAGAAGAGATATTCCCAGTCAATAGAGTCCCTCGAAACCCTTCTTCGATATCTTGAGCTCCTGTTTTCTTATCGCATAACTCATCTGTTCAAACATGAAGATGATTATTTTTTTTCATGGACCTCTCTAACCAGACAACAAATAATGGTAAATTTGTTACCAGCAATGTCGCGGTGTTCATGCATCTCGGTATCTCTCACCCAAAGCTTGTCGCCAGGGAATATGTTCATGTCTGCAAGGGTAGCAGATTCCTGATCAATCACTTTTGTGCCTTTGTGAAGTTCCTGGTTTTCCTTCATCACCTGCATATATTATTAAAGCCCCGTTTTGTCGTGTATCTGCAAGTAATCTACTGAAACAAAAAAACACTATGTCTAAAAGAATCTTACCCCAAGTAATTCCCATATCATCATCTTTAATTGGTATACAGTCGTTGTCGCAGACACTTTCAGGCTTGTCAGGTTTCCATAATTTGTTCTCCGAGATCGCTTTGAAGTACGCCGATCAACCTCAAAGCTAGAGTCAGATGCCTCTAACATTGCTTTTGGAGCTTCCTTGCCACGCACAAGACAGACAAATACATCTCCCTCAGAGTAACTAAGTTTCTGCATCAACTCACAGCTTTCTCTCTCTCCTATGCATTCCTCACAAATCTAGCGAAAATAAAAGATCCTATTAAATGCGACTCTATTCATAGAAGTCATACGATAATGGATAATCAATGTGAAAGCAAATGATCACATTAGCTTTTAAGAAAAAAAACAGCATACTGTAACGCATCTGAACCTCATATATGGACCAATGTGAAATGCTAAGCCAACATTGCCATTCAATATTATATCACAAGCTCAAGATGTTGACCAAAAATAAGGGCTCAAGATAATAATGCAAATACCTCTGGGGATGCCCTGAGAATAAGCTGTTGAGCATCAACCTCCATATTATCATCCGGAGAAGAATGCTTCTCAAGGTCAATGATGTCTGGGGATGAACTTTGGTCTGTATTGTTACCAACCTCAATAAGAGCAGATATTCCATTCTCCATGAGCCCTCCCCACTCCTCACAGAAATATTTCCAATCAATCTCAGGGATGATTGTCAGCTTGTCTGTCTAGAAAAAGGTGCAAAAGTACTAGAGATTAGATCAAAGTCAGGATTCCCCAAGTCTGTGTTTGACACTATTAAACAGCCACGGAACACGAGAGAGGATGTAAACTGAATCGACAATCACAATACCAATTTGTTAAATTCAGAACATGATTCCCTTTATTTCTCACTGAAAGACAATCACACCACAGAACCACGGAACCATACTATCAGACACCTTACTTCCAAGCTCTAAAACCAGTCCCAAAACACTCAGACACCTCTCTACTCTTGATTAATCTCTTATTTATAATATCCTTATACAGAAACAAGTTATTTATGTTCACATGACAAGTGTTTGTTAAAGCCTCTCTGTGTTGTGATGAACACTTATCAGTTTCCCATTCCGATATTGGCTTTACTGTTATAAACGGTCTCAAAATAGATTAAGAATCATCACACGGTATATATGATCACTTACAGATGGATTTTTCTGAAAATACAAGCCACGTCTGCAGACAAGTTCAGGGAGCCTTTCAAGGAGTCGTGTGTGCTGAAACAAACAGCCATATGAACAAACCATTAGTATTATGCTCAAAACTGATAGTGAGGGGATGAAAGAAGGCCTGCTGATATAAGACAGGTTATATTCACCCGCGTTTACTAACAAATATCAAAATATTTCTATGCGAGGAAACAGAGAAAGTGGTCAGGGACACTGATTTAGAATTAATCACTTCTGTCCACATAAAGCTTTACCCCACAATATCCAACTGCCAGTAAATTGGAAACCAACTCACTGCCGAGTAACAGATCTTACCTTTTTGCATTTGAGAGTATTAATGACTCCATCAAGACGTTCAGGCTCTGGTGCTGAAGAACTATTTTTTCCAGTCATGTTAATATAGATTCTCCATTGCACTAGCCACGGAGAAGGCAACAAGAAATATCGGCTTTGTGGCGTTAATGGTATATTCTTTCCCGTGGCTAACTTCTCGTGATTTTGGCGCTGCTTGACCTTCAATGTTCTGTTGCATCAAATAGAAGGTAAGAAAATATTTAAGAGTGTCACGACCAACAAAAATAATTACTAATCATGGTTAACCTTAGTGAATCCTCAAGGCATGCAACCTCAGAAAGTTCCTCTGTGCAATGACAACATTGGCTGGAGTCCACAGGGAAACAAGTACAATCCGAAGCATCTTCTGGCATCACTTTTAGAGCATCTTCAACAAGGAATGACCAGAAATTCTCTGGAACTACAATTCTTTTGGCCCCTGGTGCTTGCTCTGGCATCAGCTCTCCATGATTGCACGTAATAGCATTTGTGGGCCCCGCATCTGCTTCAGTAGGAGCATCAAGATTTTTCCTTTTTATCCATTGCTGCAACCTGGAAACATGCTATTACGCTTTAGAAGCAGCTAATTGTGGAAACACCGCACAAAATAATAGTAATTAAGTGCTCCATAAAATAAAAGCGTCATCTGCATATGCATCAAACTTACAAGACACTTGAATACATACCATGCTCTAGAGATATAATACATTCCGTCCTCACACTTTCCCGAAAGAACATCATTTGCTATGCTTTTCATGAATGTTCTTCGATCCCTATAACTGTCAGAAGAGACAACCATGCGAGCACCATCCATAAGGCAGTCCCTGCAGTAGTCCGCTTTCCCTAACTTTGGTCCACCATTGAACTAAATGTAAGAGAAAATGATTCCATCAGAAATAATAACATAGCATCAGAAAAATGTTGATAATCGAACAGAAGTCAGTCTACTGGAATCTACAAACTTTAAATTTGTCTGACAAATAGTTACACAAAGATGGCAGCTGATGCAAACTTGAAATGAATAAAGTTTCCGTCTTGAAAAAGGAAAGAAACTAACCCATGAGCTACACATTGCATACCTTTGATTCTAACTTGGTCCATGCAAGTTCAGATATCCGCTTCATGCAATTTACTTTTGAGGCAAGAACTTTCCCATGGGAACACAGTAAAGGGGTGTTGTCCAAAGCGCTACATCATAGAAGAACAAATATAATCAAGAACACTTAATACTGATTTGCTAAATAGAAAATCATATTTACCAATACAAATTTTCAAAGGGAAAACAATGTCTAGAAGTTTGGTGTGGGGTACAAAGTCGCCATCATATTCTGATAATTTGTAGATGATGCATTTGAACGATACAATATTTTGTTGCAGATTTAAATGCATTGTATGTTGAAAGCAATGCAGTTGGCAAGGATAGTATATAGAGATTAACAACAAATGTATGTATGAGGAGCTTTACTTACGGAGGCAAAGTGGTATCAGCCCATAGACGAAGCCAATCTGTGGAGATCCAAAAATATTGTTCTTCAAGTGACTGAACAGCAGCTTCTGAAAGGATAGTCCGTACTTCTTGCCTCCTTTCAGTCAAAGCACTCAATTCTTTTTCCTTTCTTAAATCATATTGCTTGCAACTCTCAAGGAATACTGCATTCATATTATTGATCCATTCATAAAGATGTAACGGAAGATAACCACCTTTAAGCTGTTGAACACTATCAACTTTTCCTTTAGATATGTCAATAGGATTTTCTTTCTGTCCTTCCTGATTTTCCTGTTTATCGCATCTAAGACTATACATCAGCATATAAGCATCACTGGATGAGAAAACCTCTGACTTAATAGCAGACCTACAGTCTGAAGAGCCTGATTGAATGACATCTGTGATATTCTCACTACTAGCCGTACCATTACTCTCAGATTGTGGAGTTGAAGAAGAAGCTTCATTGAATGGACGTTTACCCAGTTCTGACACATGTTCATCATCAAATTCCCACCACAAGCCAGTCTTTTCATCTTTTATGTGAGCAACATAATGTCCGCTGTTAACAGCGCTTCCTTTGTGGATTAACACAGCAGAGAGATCGTATGTCAACTTGTTTTGAGAAGACTCTGCCAATCT